GAATATTGTGTGCAGTTGTGGTCAGCAAACGGCCTCTTGTTTCTCACTTTTCTAACATTCTTATTTGTGGTTGTTGTTCCTCGGCTAGGAGCTGAGCTGTTTTTGGCTTGTGTACTATAAAGAAAAGTTCTGGTCTTCATTAGACCAGAGGGATCACTGGGCTTTATTACTCTGATATGCTTCCAAGGACATACATGTCTGAAGGTTTGTGTGTAATTTATGGTTACTTCAGATTGGTAGATGAGAAAATGATATGTTAGTTTAAGAAGGAAAAGTCCTTCTTTTATTTGTATCAGATGTCTGAGAAGGGTCTTAATAATGGTGCTTAGTTAATACTTGTTTAATAGATAAAAGCGATGCAGGGTTTAAGCAGTGAACGTGTAGCTAAATGCCTTGGGCTCTTCAAAACACTGTACTGTACGGTATAAATAAAAATTCACTAAAGACACAGGGCTCCATCTAGTGGTCACGTCTAAGAACAACATCTTAAATTTTAAACTCATTGTACAATAGAACATCACAAACATCCCAAATGAGAAACCATTCAGACTATCATTCTCATTTTGTTCTATTGTTGTCTGGTTCCAAGTACAGCACTTGCTGTACTGGGAACACCAGCCCCTCCAACCCCCTCCGACCCATACAGTACATTAAATGAACTTGGGCCGCCCCAGTGAAAATTAAGACTAGTGAATAAATCCTAACGTGCATCTTATTGGGGGGGGGGGGGGCTGAAATCACAATACACAGTAAGTCTCATACTCATGCAGACACAAGAATACCATGCAGACTCCGCACAGACAGATTTCAGAGCCATGGAGCTGTGAGGTAATGGTACACACTGTTCTTGCTGATAATTTATACTTCTGTTGGATCCTTCATTACTGCATTATTTTTACCTGCGGTACAGTATGCGTATGGTGAATTTATACAGTAGGTAAAAATGTGTGTGCTTTAAACCGTAATAAAGGTTAGGTACAGGTAATGGGGACTCCTCTTCACCACCACCAAAGTGCAACACCCACCTGGATGATGCGACAGCAGCCAGAGTGCAACCAGTACACTCTATAGTACATACTGTAGCACACTTCTTAGTGGGGAGGAGAACAGAGTGATGAAGCCAGTTCAGAGATGGGGATGATTAGGAGGCCATGATCAGGAAAGATCAGGGGATAAATTAAGGCAGGACACTGGGGTAACACCCTTACTTTTTTAGAGAAATGTGATTTCTGGGATTTTTAATGACCATTGAGTGTCAGGACCTCAGTTTAATGTCTCATCCAAAGGATGGCGCCATTTTTACACTGTAGTGTCCCCATCACCATACTGGAGAATTAGTACCCATGCAGACTGCAGGGTGAGCACTGTGAGGTGGTGCAATTGACACCTCTTCCAGCAGCAACCTTAGCTTTCCCAGCAGGTCTCCCATTCGGGTACTGGCCAGGCTCACACCTGTTGTGCTTTAGTGGATTGCCAGGTGGGAGTTGCAGTGTGTTATAGCTATTGATATAAGCTAAACATAAAATATGAAATGAATGAGTAAAAAACTGCTAATAAGGGGGAAAAATAATATCAAAATAGAACGTACACTAGCACACTACAAGGGCCACTTGAGTTTTTATTATGTACAGGGTGTTAGCAAGTTTTAAAAACACAGATGGGAATGATGGAACAAAACTATAACTGCCTCTAGGTGGCAGCATATTACTCTTGACAAGCCCTGCTCTGACTGAGACTCTAGTATTATTAATTTGTTTGACACCTATAACTAAAGCAACTGAGTATTTTACTGATGCAAGTTAAGTGAAGAACCTCTCAAGGTCATCAACGGTGACCCAGCAGGGATTTGAATGCATGACCTACTGGCTATGAACCCGGAGCAGTACAGTTACTACAGTACAAATCCACAGTGCTGACACAAGCACCTCATTGGAAATACAGTTATGACACACAGAGCAGTATGCCTGAGCATGAACAGAGATCTTATATAGTCATCCTACATCTAAGCCTTTCCTGTACCATTTGGCTCATTTGGCTCCTGTACCATTTGGCTCAGATGTAACAAACTGCATATCCTTCACAACATTATGTAAGAAGATTATGTCATCCATAATCCCAATAACTGGGAGTGACTGACAGTTGCCACTGGAAGCTTACAGTATCATTCACTGCTTCTGATGCATGTTTGCAAACCGTCTAGGTCAGGCTGTTTCGAGAAGCAAGGTCCTGTCAGGAATGATGCTATGAGAACAAGGCAGGAAGTCACTTCGGGAGACTGTAACCACATGGCGAAACCTTCATTCTTCTAATTCTGGTCTCCTGTCTGTCTCCCAAGCCCGTCTACACTCTATGGGTGACAAGGCCTTCTCCTGCTACACGCCAAAGCACTGGAATTCTGTCCTTAAGGATATCAGAGAGTCACCATCCATAAGCGCTTTCAAATCTAGATCAAATCCTTCTTCAAAAGAGCTGGTATTTAACTGGTTCTGCGTCTGTCCCTTTGTCCACTCTCTTTAGATGTTCAGGTGAGATAATAAACAGCTCACAGACATAAGCTTGGTGTAGAATTTTTTGTTTATGGAAGACTCTTAGGTGCCTGCAAGGCTGTCAAATTTTACAAACAGTATTTTCAGCATTTCCAGCACAATCACAACTGCAATTTTGCTGACCAACATGTAATTGTATTCAGATTGTAGGATAACTAAGATTGAAGTTATGCTTACCACAGCACACACCATCAACTATGTTAAGCCAATGAAGTAACCCTATCTGTGGATGGTACTTTACTTGAGAGTCAGTCAAAACTGAAGAACTGATATTTGATTCAGGCTTGACATTTGACCCACATGTGAAAATGTTGTCAAACATCTTTGTTCTACCTCAGAAATACTGCCAAACTAAGTCTTAGGTTGTTGTTGTTGTTGATAAGCTGGTCAATGCTTTTGTCTTTTCCCAAATTTAATACTTTAATGCTCTACAAGCTGGGTCATCTAAAGCCACACTGAACAAACTACAGTATGTCCAGAATTTAGCAGCCAGAATCCTGACCACATCTGGTGGAAGTGATGTCGTTACTCCTATCCTGGATTCCTTGCACTGGCTTCCTATCAGGTTTCATGTCGACTTCAAAATCCTAATGCTCAGACATCAGCCTGAGAAATCTGAGTCATGGCACCAACATGACAAGCAAGCCCATACTGCCCCTGCTGGGATCCAATCCCAGTCACTCGCAGGCTGCATAGGATTAGAAGAACGCAGGCTCATCTGTGCAGCACTATTGTCAAAAACTTTTCCTTCTTTATGCTTCACTTTTCTATGTGAAAAAAACTTATTTTTGCCTTTATAACTCCCTACTCTAACCTCTTCATTATCGTATTGTATAGGGTAAACAAAATTCAGGAAACAGAAAGCAGCTTACAACTGACTTTTTTTAAACATATGAAACTACAGTTGCTTATTTTACAGTTTGCTTATGTGAATTTTTGCTTAATTGAAGACTATTATGGATTATCTGGAGCAAAGCCTTGCAATGGATTGGAGTGAAACTGCTACAGTAGACCACCTGAAAAACTGGCTTTCAAACCTGATCCTGGAGAAACACTGTCTCTTGGTTTTTGTTCTAGCCAATTTCTTAATCAAAGGCTAAATGATTTTTAATAGGGGTGTATTTGTAAATTAGCTTCCAGCTCTTATGGGAAATGGGATCTGTGTCAAACCTGTATCCAAGTTTCAGAACTGCCCTCAGTCCGGTGTGTAGCCTGAAATGTAACCAACAAGATACCGGTGTGACTCCCATTGTGGGTGTGTCTGGAGCAGAGTCACTCCCATTGTGTGTGTGTCTGATACAGTGAAACTCCCACTGTGTGTGTACATTGTCACTACCATTATGTGCATGTCTGGTTTACAATGTTACTCCCACTGTGGTGTCTCTGACACAGTGTCACTCCCACTGTGGCTGTGTCTGGTACAGTGTTATCTTCACATATCTATTCACCATGAATTTATCATCTTTTACTATCTTCAAGAGTTCAAGTCAGAAATAATGGCAAGGTTATAGCAGAGACCAAGGTCTGAATGCTCACAGTTTTGGAAACAGTCCTCCATATGCAGGGTATTTTTGACCCACAGGACTGACTAAAAAAATATTTTACTTTCACTGGATAAAACAAAATAAGGGCCAGCAGTGTGACTTTCAGGTGGACTGTATGTGATGTTGCAAAAGCCCATAGGTGCCATAACACAGATAACTTTTAAAGATTAAACAGATTAAAATATTTTAAAAAATAAAGATTAAACAGATATCATGCTTGCACTACATTAAAAAACAAACACATTATGAAAAATATTATTATACTTAAGGTAAGTGCTCAAGGCAGATAGTTGTCAAAAAGTGTACATACTGTATGTCTAATAATAATGTATTTTATTTATAAAGTTCCTTTCCAAGTCTAAGGACGCTGAACAGTTCTGAACAGCTCACATCAAGTGGCTGGATTAGCAGATCAATCAATCAATAAACAAATATTGCAATTGTCCTTGCACAGCTTATCTTAGAACATTTTCAGACACCATCTAAAGGTATCTATTGTGTGGTTTGAATAAACAAATGATTCAGTAAAGGCTTCCTGTGAGTCATCTGTTAAAATAAAGATAGAAAATTACTTTGTGAAAAGGACTGTAACTAGACATATTAATACTTAACAGTGTGCAGTACTAGCTATTGAGACATGGCACAAAAAATGTATACGATTGCTGTAAAGTCTTCATCATCAATACATCATTACAAATGAACATATTAATGTTTCACCCACGTATATGCAGAGGGTCATTTCTGGATTATGCAACTGCAGGAAAGGATAGCAAGGCCACGTGGAACAGAATGGCATACATTGGATTGTTTTTAAAGAAAGCCAGCTTAACTGAAAATGCAGGTTCTCTCCCTTGAGAGAGCGATACGACAGACAGGGGTGCTCAGGAGAGGGGAGACACCAGGTCCTTACCCTCCTCTGTGGATGCCTCACTGCTGTAGCCATCGTACTCCGCTGACAGCGGGCTGTACTTCTGCCTGGTCTCCCAGACGTAGCCCTTCGGGTGCCGGGCCTCTGCTCCGCGGGCAGCCTGGGAGCGGGACATGGCCTCCTGGTACTTCCCCATCACTTCGTCCTCGCTCTCCGAGGAAGAGCCGCGCAGGTCTCCATCTGGATAGTCCTTATCTGAGGAGGACGGTGTGCAGAAGGGTGTTAATGGAGACTAGGAGACAGAGGAGGTGGCAAACCTATTAGCTAAATACAGACTGTCCAGCCTAGGCAGAAATAAAAGACCTTCATCTGCCTCCTCTCTATGTCTATTCCAATGATCTGAGTTTTGAAATTTACAGTAGGTGCAGAAAGGCCTAATAAAAACATCATGGGGGTGGCTGCCCCTCTGTGTCTGGCTGCTTAGTCACCCGCTTAATTACCTAAATTACCCTACAAAATGCTTGGAAACCCTGGTAATACAAATTCAAGTGTTTTCAAGTGAAAAGCATAGTCAATATTCTAAAGGAAATGACACAGAAATACATTTAAAACCAAGAACAGGAGGTATTTCTTTACACAATGATTTGTAGGGGTGTGCTGCCCAGGCTTGCTGCTGCCGCAAATATCCTGTTTTCTTTCCAGACACAGCTGGATGAGATCCGGATATCAATTAACTCCCACTGTCACTCTTAAATGGGCTTAGATTGTAACTTTTCTGGTTCTTAATAGTTCCATTTAACATTGTTACAGACACATAATTTCAAGTAAAACATTTTGCAAAATGAACGCATTTCTTTAATGTGAAATAGTTAGAAATAATATTTCTAACTATTTGCCATGAATGCTATGAACATTTGGCAATCATGACTTTCTGATCACGGGTTTCTGAACTATTTACTGGAGGAACAACACACAGCTAATGGTCATAACTACCAGCAGGTGTCTCTCTTATGCATCTGTGTGACCTGGCATGAAGACTGCACATCAACCAGAGGAAGGCAGGGGGGCTGGGAGTGAGCCTGAGATGCTTAATTTCAGTTCTGTTACAGAACATCTTGCACACTAGAGGGGAAACCCCTAGCAGCACAGAGATCAGAGTGAGTATCCTGACCGTTTCACTTAAACACTATTTCTACTGTATATGATAGACAGTAAACGCTGTAAAGTTTACTAATTATCAAGAAATAAAGTGGGACTGTCCTCAGAAATCTAGAGAGAAGAAACAAAAAGTCCATAAATTCCATCGACTCAGCCCTGAGAATCAAACAGCAGGCAGGCCCATGGGAGGAATAAACTGTCAGACTCTAATGACCGAGACAGCGGTTGAAGGTCAGGACGTACAGTAGTATCACTGAGTAGGGAGAGATTATTTCTTCCGTGGTATCTTCAGGGTATATTTCTAAGTGCACCATGCTTGTGTGAAAAGAGCACTGCTCAGACTTGATTAAAATGAGTTTTCCTCCTTTCAGAGGCTGAAGGCTTTAATTGGGATAGAGTGCTCTTAGGATGCTGAATGGTTGCAATTACCTTTTATTTCAATGTGACTTTTGTATGTTGCACCTCAGAATAACAAAGCAAATTAAATAGAAAGACAGGTGGTTTATGTCTTTATGCAGATTAATTGGAAAATGAATTAGCCAGAGAGGACTTCTTATTATTGTAAAAGAAAGTGGTTTGATGAGATCCTACAGTAATGAACCATTTTCAGCTCTCTGACTCCATTCTAGAATTCTAATTTAATTTCATATGCAAATTAATTATTAACCAGTTCTACACTTAGTAATGGGTGTCAGCTTTTCATACCAAAGTTGTGGTGGATGGGTCGAAGCCGTAATCCTGAAGTGTGAGAGTAACTGTGAGGAGTGGTAAGGAACAGCATAAAGGAAATATAAAGGCAGTCACTTGGATGTTTGTAGTTTACCGATTCACATACTTTATTACAACAGTTTTTGAAGCATCTCACATAGAGGCCTGACACAACAGATTGTGGTTTAAGATATTCTACATATAATGGTCAAAGCATTGATTTGTAGGATATGTAAAAACCTAAGAAAAAGTGGATATTAAACCGAGAGCACTTCTTTATAAAAAGAGTTGTCAGGGTCTTGAAAGTCCTATCCCGTCATTTTGTTAAAGCTGATATCCTGGCTTCTGTCATAAAAGGCTGGATAGAAGACACTTCTTTACACAAAGGGTTGTGGGAGCATAGAACACACTTTCAAGGCAGGTTGATGAAGCTGATACCCTTCTTTGTTCCAAAAACACATTGATGAGATCCTTGGATCAATTAGCTGCAAGCAACCAAACCAGCTTCAGTACAGTATATTGAAATATCGTCGTATCAGTTGTACACTTTCTTATGTGTGTAGTTTTAACGGGAAATAAAAGGAGAAATGAGTTGTACATTTTTCTTTAGCAAATTAAAGTTTTTAATAACAAAAAGCAGATTGTTATGTGAAGCCTAATTTTAATGTCTCGAATCTCAATCTCAAGTACATTAAAATGCAATAGAGTTATGCAGAGAGTGGCATTATCAGAGGGAATATTCATGAGGCTTTGTTAAAGCTTTAGGAGCTGCGTGCTCTCGAGCCCTCTGTATCACAGCCTCATTGTTCTTACAAAACTTGACCTGATGATGTTTTAATCTGCCGCGTGGGCAGGGCTTTGCAATTTAATTCTAGTGCTAGAAATTCAACTCTCTGAACAATTTTTGTTGGCTTCATTGCTTTCATAAATTGGTCTATAAGAAGAACATTAAACCAAGCCTTTTCAGTTTTACCTTACTTTACTTTTACAGTCATTGCGGTCATTTAGGGTCATTTCAGGTCCCATTGCCTATGTACTGTATTATGCCCAGCTGCTTTTACATAGGAGCTTGACAAATATAATTGATTTCATTATTGATGATAAAATTAAAAAATATTTTAAAATCTTGAATCGTGTCTAGCAACGTCCACTGACTTTGAGGAAAAACCCTGCTGTTTATTTTAGTTTCAATCAGGAATGTTAGGATTTATATTCTGCAGTTAATTCTGTCATTCGGCTTATCTAGCCTGTTCGGTAGGTAGTAGTTATTTTATCCAAGGATCTCATCTAGCTGCTTCTTTAAAGAAGCCAGGGTGTCAGCTTCAACATGACTTGATAACTTGTTTCAGACTCCCACAACTCTTTGTGTTAAGAAGTGCCCCCTCTTTTCAGTTTTAAGTGCAGTTCCAAGTAGTTTACACTTCTGTCCGCTGGTTTGTGTTTCACTGTGGTTTATGAAGAAGTCCGTGGGGTTGTCTTTATCTCTGTCTTTGAGGATCTTGAATGCTTGGTTCATGTCCCCTCGTAATCTTCACTGCTCAAGACTAAAACTGTGCACGACTCTTTGACTGTAACCATACATTGTATGGACACCTTCTCCACCTGAATGTTGCAGAGAATCCCCAAATTTGTCATTGAAGAAGAAGAGGGCATTATAAAGGAAGACATAAGGTGGACAAGAAGGTAGAAAGTCTGCAGGCAGAGTGCTCCAAAAGGATTCATGCAGCATGTGGACTAAGCTCCGGCTTGCATGAAACTTTCAGCAGGCAAGAGTAGATTAGCAGCACACAGCAAAGAGGAGAAAGAAGTTAGGTCTCAGCAAGATCACCTCACCTTTACCCAGTTTCTTTTTGCTCTTCTCTTTTTTGGCCCCATCACTTAGCTTCTTTTGTTCTCCTTTGGAAGAGCCTTTCCTGCTCCGAGTCTTGTCTTTGGGGTCCCCTTTGTCGCAGGCAGTGACCTTACCATTCTTCCCTGGTTTGGGGTCTGCAGTGGTCTCTTGCTTCTCTGCTTGCTTTTTATCAGAGATCAGACTCTTTGAGGCTTTCTGCTCATCATGGCCACTTATCTTTCCAGCAGTGGCCGTTGATGTGCTATTGGTTGACTTTTCCTTAGAAAATACAGAAACACTAGACCTCAGTTTTCCTTTGATCTTCTGGCCACCGTTGGAAGTCCCACTTTTCTTTCCTTCTTTGTCCTTTTGGCCAGAGCCATCGGAAGGCGGGGAACTGGTTCTTTTGCTGTCGGGTTCCCTCTGGACATTGTTCCCACAAGTTGTCCTTGCCTCCAGAGGGGCGGGAATGTTGTGGTCAGAAATGTTTTTTGATTTCCTGGGCCTACACTCCGTCTGTGGCTCGGTGGCATTCACAATACAACCTTTGTGAGAGGGATCCCTCCTGTCCAGAGGCCGGTGGCTTCTGCCATCGTCAGGCCTGCTTCCTCCTCCTCTCTGAGTGTTTCTGCGTCCCTCCCCTCGGCTGCCATCGGTGGCCTGGGAGAGGTCACTGCCAGTGGATTCGGTGCAGGTCTCTGTGGAGCGGGTGGACCCTGTGCTGTAGTCTGTGGTATAGATCTCCGGATCGCGGGACCGATCCAAAGAGCCCTGACGCTTGAGCTTCTGCCTGCCCACGGCATTCGGCCCCCGGTCCTCACCTCCCTTCCTCGCTGTCGCTTTCTCCTCCTCTTGCGTCTTGCTGGCTTCGACTGGTCCTGCCCTCCCGCCCTTCTTCTTGTCCTCTTCCTCCTCCTCCTCAGCCTGCAGGTTGTGGATGATGGTGGTGACCTGCTCTGCCACCGAGTCGCTGACAGTGTAGGTGACGTCCCCTACGGCGCTGGCAAGGTCATCCACCGCGTTGGTAAAAGAGTCCACAATGGAGGAGACCGACGGCAGAGCCAGGCTTTGCTGGAAGCTCTTGAAAAATGCCATGATGTCGTTTGACGATGGTTGCTTTGCATTCCCTTCCCAAGTGCTGTTTCTATGCTTTAGATGTGCCCTTTTTTTACTCTTTACAGTAGTCTGAGTGTTTGATTTTGGATTACTGTTTAACTGCTAAGCCTTCTTCGGGCGTACTGCCAGAGCCTGGGAATTGTTCTCCCCTTCCTAGCTCTGTGCTGCTGGCACACAAACAGGAGAGAAAATGTACAGTTAACAAGGCAGGAAGGCAGCCTTGGATCGTCAATGAGCAAAGGTTGCAGAAAATTGATTCTTACCCAGATTCCAATCTAATAATGCGATAATGTCATTTTTCTCTCTGAGAACCATGGAAGAGACAAGCCTTTCTGCCATGAGAAAAGTACAGATCTTTTCCGGATAAAAATAAAGGTTTCTCATTCATTAAATGACCTTTGGCTATTAAGGCACCCATCCATTTATCACATCCTGAAATAGC